TCCCACAATTTGTATAAAACAATAATTATAACATTGCATTATTGGGTTTATAGTGTATATAGATGTAGCATGTATGAAAATAATAGCACAAAGAAAGTAGAAGGAATACAGGAACAGAAATACACTAAAGCAAAATTTCTGTATTTTTCTGGAGCTAAATTAGTATTAATCTGTTATCAATTAAGATGAATGTTGCAGTACTTAGATTATAATCCTAAAAATGAACAAAATTCTTTCAAAATTAGTAATTACTCTCAAAGTTATACTGAACCTATTTTATATAAGAATCACATAGCTGAATAATGAAAGAGTTGACACAGAAATACAAAGAAAAATGGCAAATATAAATGCAACATATTGATAATTACATTAAAAGTAAGTGGTCTAAAAATTCCAATCAAAATGCAGAGGCTGTCAGACCAGATTTAAAGGCAGAACCCAGCTATATGCCATTTACAGGAGGTGTGTTTTAGGTTCAAAGACAAATATGTTGAAAGTAAAAGGTTGAAAAAGAGATAACACTCAAACAGTAACAAGAGAGCTGGAGTAATTGTGTTAAGATTAGACAAAATAGACTTAAAAACAAGAAATGTTACTAGGGACAAAGAGGGATATTTCATAAAGAAATAGAAAATCAGCTGATGTGTTGGCAGCAATGCAGGCAATACATGATGAAAGCTTGAACTGGGTTATGATAACAAGAGCTCAGAGTAGAGATTAAATTAAGAAAGCATTTTTAGGAAGCTGAGCTGAAATGTCTTCATGATTAATTGCCTTTAAGGATAAGAGAGGGAGGTGCCCATGAAATCTTTCAGTTTTCTGACATAAGGGGATGATGGTAACATTCACTTGACAGGGAAAAGGGGGCAGCACTATGGAAGAGGTTTAGTTTGAGGTACCTTGGAGAGTCCAGCTGGAAATTCAGATGAGGAGCTTAGGAGAGAGTTTGGGATTACATGTGAAGACTTGCGAGTTGCTAGAATATTGGCTCAATTAAAGTCATAGGTTTAAGTGAGGCTACTCAGAGAGAGTACATAACCTAAGAAGGGAGTGGGCAGGATATTAATCTGTAGGGGACATTAGTACTTAAAAGATTAACAGAGAAAAAGACATTGAGAAGGAAGAAACAGAGAGTAACCAAAAGGAAATATACAGAAAGTCAAATAGGGGCAGGAAGAGAATGTGATTAACTCAGGTGGGGTGGAGATGAAAAATGATGAAGAAGGGATTCATTGCACCTGAAAATTTGAAGGTAATTGTTAGCTTTAAGAGAGAAGTTTCAGCGGAGTGGTGGGAAGGGATAGAATCAGTTGCTAGGGTAGAATAAGTTACCCCAAATGAGGGCAGGTTGACCTAGAGAACATGTAGAGAGGGAATGCGTATGACTTGGGAGAAATTTAGCTTTGGAAGGAGAGAAAAAGCATGAAAAGACATTATTTAGAGAGACTAAGTTCCTCAGGGAGGATGTTTTCTTAAAGTTGGGTGACTCTTGAAGGATGAAAACATGTGTATTGCCCAGAAGGAGTCAGAGGGAGGAGGAGGGTGACATCATAGGGGATTGTGTAAGGCTGTTGAGGAAGCAGGAAAAGAGGACAGCGGAAACCCATTGTATTAGGTCTAGCAATATTTTTTTTACTCTAGTTTCTTTAGCATCAGTTGTTGAATGTGTCTAAGGCAGTTTTTAGATTAGACTCAATGAATTGGGTAGAAAAGGCTTTTTACATAATTTTTTAATTTCATGCCATAGTATAATAGATATGGCAGATATGCCTGTAGTTTTTTTTTTTAATTCATCACATCATTTCTCTGGCCAATAACTAGCAATGCCCTATTACTTACAGTGAATAAACAAAGTGATGAATTCAAACCCTGAGAACCCAGCTAAAACGAACCTTCAGCCTATTTCTACCACAGCTGCCCTCTCCAGACAGGCTGCTATGTTGGCTTGCTTCCAATATAGAAGTACTCTCCTGTCTCCAGATGTTGCCTGCCTCTGCTATCTGGGATGTTCTTTCCTTAGCACTTTTCATGACTGGCTCCTTCTCATTGTTCAGTTCTCAACCCTAATGCAACTTCATCTGATCTGATGAAAGTACATCTACATAAAGCAGACCCCATACTCAGTTATGAGCATTGATATCACACTTTGTTTCCTTCAAAACTCTGAAAAGTCTGTTTTGTTTATTGCCCTTCCTCTCCCCCCACCAGCAGAATGGAAGCTACAAGAGGGCCTTATCTGATCTGCCTTACTTCCTCAACTCCAGTGTCCAGTACCGTGTTGGTAAGGGCTTTGGGTTGTGTTGATATGTGAATAAATGGTTTCTCCATTAAGTTTCAACCCCATCTTAAATCCCATCTCCATAGTGAATAATAATAGCTTATATATGTGTGTGTATATACCCACATATATAGTATACACACATATCCATATATGTATATACACATATTAGCTTATGTGTATATATGTATATATACACATACACACACATATGAATACTTAACCTTGTTCCACTGGTAACATATATTATATTATGTAACTAACACACACCATTTACCTCCTGTAACACACAGGTGCATGCATTCTGTCAGACATACATACCCGTCATACATTCTGTATTTGTTATTTAGTTTATTACTTGTATCACTTTTTTGCTTCAATAAAATAAAAATTCTTAGTGCTCCCATATAGCAAATAGAGAGAGCTCAAAGTATGCTGAATGATTGAAGACAGCCCCCAGGGCTAGAACATTGCTAGTGATCATTATTATAAACCTCAAGCAGAAAAATAAATGGGCAAACTCCATTCTAACTGCAAAATGTCAAAGATGATAAAGGGGAGACTGAGCTTTAAGGTAGGAGGTTTACAGTTCAATCCCTTCATTTCCAGAAGCATTTGCTAAAATTCAGGTTTCAATAGTGAGAAGACATACCATTTCTTAGTATCAAGTGCCTATTATTGGGTTTTGAAATAGCTGCTTCTCAGTGTTGTAGAATTCCAAGGTGAACGCCCTTGAGGTTTCGATTTCTGAAGTCCCTTTGCAAACCTGTAGACAGTGCAAAGTCCCTTTGCAAACCTGGACTATATCCTGATGGAAACGGCTGGCAAAATGCTCTTCTTAGCTTCACTAAATACTTTTGCAACATGGAAATTCTGTTCTTTATCTCATCTTGGGATTCGGTTGCAAACTAATTCTTCAAGTTTTGAGCACAAATCAACAGGAATGCCCCTAGGCTCCTAAGAGTCCTCTGTTTCTTGTTAAAGGTGACTTCACAGGCAGTCTGCTCTGCTCAACCTCCCTACCCTTGGTGTACTGACTCCCGGAGGCTGGCAGTAAGCTACAGTTCCTAAGGGCTCTAGTCTCTAGCACTCTGCTCCTGAGAGCCTCAAGAGTCATTCCTGTAGTCTCCTCAGACTGAGTACAACCAACATGATTTTCTTAGGGTTCCACCCTCATGCAGATGTGAACAGTAACAAGAATGTTGCCCAACCTGTCTCTCCCCATTTGACAGGTCAACTGGATACATTCCTCCTACTGGATGTGCTTCCTCCAAGGCCCAGCTACAAAGCAATCCATCTGGGTGATGGTGCATTTGATCCAAGACTCTGGTTTTTAGCTTCTTTGGTGGTCAGGGATGTAATTGAATTATATTTTTCAAATGACACATTTTCCATTCCAGCTGCTTGAAGTTTCTTCTCTGCTTAAACGTTTAGTAGTTATGTTTTTGGCTAACACTTGCCTCTACCAGGAATGACCAGCCAGAGTGACCTATATTCCTCATGTGATTTCTCAGAGACCCAGCAAATTAGGAAGAACTCTTGCTGTCTTGAGTAATGTCATGATGTAGTTTATTTAATTGTTTATGTGATTGGAACTATGGTATCTTTCCTCCCATTCAATCAGGGGTGTTGGGGGCAAGCTGGCTGTGATAGCTTTTCAAAATTCTTAAGTGTACGGCATTCCAGAATGTTGAAAGAGAAAGGAAGGAGGCAAAATTTGTCATAATGGGGTAGGTCTAGTATTGGGTAGAGCCAAGACATCTCATTCAATTAAGGGCTCAAATTTAGATACCGAATTATCTCCAAGTGAGACTAGGAACACAAAGTGTGTGTGTTAACTCATTACCAAGCGTAAATACACATTTAGTAAATGCCACAATATAATCCTACTTTTTCTATTGATATATTTATTTACTTCAAATATCAGGAACCAAAATAATAATCATCATCTTGGAAAGTCCTCACCTTGGTAGTCCTAGCTCAGGGACTATGGCTCCCGACCATCTCGGTGGGGTGTTGAAAAGGGAGGGAAGATTGAATCACAGCACTAAGAAGGTAAAGCCACTTCCGCTTGAGTTTGATCCGCGACTGCCCGGGGTGAGCCACAAGGTCTGGCAGACCTCTCCTGACCCGCCCGCTGCTCCCCTCAGCAGTGTACTTCGTCGATCTGTCTGTTCTGCACCCCACTCTGTTTCTGATGAATCCTCTCAACGCCCCTGCACCTCTGGCCTGTACCCCAGTTCTGTATGCACAAATAAATAAATCTTTTAAAAAAAGGAAAAGAAAAGAAAAGGGAGGGAAAAGGGATAAAAGGGTAACTTGGGCAGCCGAAATTTATTTCAAGGAGCTCTCCCAGATCTTGGGGATTTGGGATCTGCGCACCAGCGGAGGTCCGCACAGTCCCGAGTTATAGACAAATCTGGGATTTTACCCAGACAGCCGCCACGCAGCCCAGCAGCCAGCCACCTGAAAGACCGCAGGAGGCGAGCCGAGGCGGGGTGCAGACTGGGGCGGGGCTTCGTGTGCAGTGGGCGGAGACTCGCTGCTTAGGGCGTGGTCGGGCGCGCGAGAGGGCGTGGTCGAGAACGGGGTGGAGCGGAGGCGGAGCGAAGAAAAAACCCAGGCGGGGACTGGTGAGCTCGTGCTGCGCTGCGGCCGACGTTGCTTCCCGCCGGAATCTTAGCGTCAGCCGGAAGGACGGGTACTGCCTGAGCGCCCTGGGAAGAAGCCGGCCGGAGGCGCGGGCGCGGCGGGAGGGGCTACGAGCGAGTCTGGTTTTGTTTCCGTTTCCCTCCGTTCCCGTTCTCCTTCTGCAAACCGGAAGGTGCAGGGGCAAGGGGGACCGGTAGCACCGTGCTGCTCCAAAACGTTTATGGTCCTTGGTCCCAGGACCCCATTAAAGCATTTGCAGGGTACGCTTTTATGAACATCTTCCAAAAGTGAAGGCAGGTGTTCATCCGTTTTGAAGTTGATATTTTGGGGGAAGGAAAAACTCGCGGGAGTGTGGAGATTTGCCATATGAAACTCGCGGGTCCTCACATGCCTCTTCCTCAAGCCCCGGGGTTTGACAGACTTGGACTCTCCCAGAGTTCTGGATGCACAGTCAGGACCAGCTTGGGTTGATGCCGATTTATTCCTTTATAAATGCTTCGCATCCTGATGTTTGTGTCTATCAACTAGATCCTCGGGTCCGTAAAGCCACCTAAGCTTGGCTGGAAGCTACAACTCAGCCTCCTGATGCATTCTGAATCCAGGCTGTGTGAAGACGAGACTCCTTCCATTTTGTGGGGTTTGGATCCTGTATTTCTGGCCTTTGCAAAACTCTACATAGGGGATATCCTGGACTTGAAGGAATCCTCCCAGGTGCCAGGTATGCAACTGGTTGGCTTGTGCTACGCCCGCACCTCGCCTCCTATTCCCACAACTGTCTTCCTGCTGCAAGCTTGAAATGACTTCGCCTGGACCATAGAGTGGGTTCATTTCTATGCAAGTTAAAAACAATGTGAACTTTTTTCAAATTTTATTTATAACTGACATACAACATTATAATAATTTCAGGTGTGCATTTGGCATTTGTATGCAGTACAAAGCGTTGTCTTTTTATGTTTTTAGCAAAACTTTTCAAATTTGCTTTATTATTGCCTTGGGCCTTATGCTCTACCCTACATTCCTGTGACTTATTTTACTTTATAACTGGAAATTTGTCCCCATTTCACCATCCCCAACTCACCTCCCAATGTGTTCTCTGAAACTAAGAATTTAGTTATGTTTTGTTTAGTTTTTCAGATGCCACATGTAAGTGAATTCACATGATATGTATCTTTACTGTCTGACAGACGTCACTTACCATAATACCCTTAAGATTCATTCATGTTTCACAAATGGCAAGCTTTAGTCCATTTTCATAAATGTATAGTATTTCTGTGTATACCACATCTTATAAATCTATTATTTTTAACAGATTCTTGATGGGGTAACTTGTACTGAGGAATTTTTTTTTTTTAAAGATTTATTTATTTATTCATACAGAACTGGGGTACAGGCCAGAGATGCGGAGGGTGAGAGGATTCACCACACACAGAGCGGGGAGCAGAACAGGCAGATCGACAAGTACACTGCTGAGGGGAGCAGCGGGCGGGTCAGGAGGGGTCTGCCACGCCATGGGGTCACCGCCGGGGAAGGCGGGAATCGAACTCATGAGGAAGCGGCTTTAGATTCTCAGTGCTGTGCTTTAACCCGCTGCGCCACCAGGGAGGGCCTAGTGAGGAATGTTTTTACCCACTTGAAGCCTTTCCTGTGTAAAAATGCTCGTTGTTTTCCCATGAGCCTGCTCTTAATGGAGCACACACTGACCAGGCATCCCTAGGCCTGTTCCTTTCCCCAACTGTACCTCGTTAGCTGACCAAAGTATGTGACTCACCTCCAAGAAAGCTCAGGTAATTTCTTTCTAAAAACAGGGATTAACCATGCTGATTTTCCTGTGGAGTTTTATTTTGAATTAATCAGAATCAAAGTGATATAAACTCCATGGCAAGGACATTATCTGCCTTATTCACTCATATAATCCTAGTGCTTACAACAGTGGGCCATCAAGAAATAATAATTGGAGCAACAAAGCATTATAAATGTAAAGCCAAAGAAATCACTTTCTTAAATTAGAGTCGTGATTCCTAAAGACAGGCTATTCAAACCTAAAAATAAAATATGTGTAGTTTGGGATAGATTTAAATCATAGAACTATAGATGGGTCTTCACATGTTTTTTGTGCTAAATGATACGTTTGGTTAAACTCTCCTTTTGAATCAATAACAATCTATGAGTCAAAAATAGTCAATTTAATGAGAAGACGTTTTGTGTGTTTCCAGTTCGATCTATAAATATATTTGGATGACCTTACAGTAAAGCCTTCTGTACAGATTTTTCACCACACCTTTGTTTCCTAATTATTGTTGGAAATGGCCTGTTTTTTCCTTGAAAAACCTCCCTCATGGTTTTCCTTTTTCCAGAACAGTCTGGTATTCTTCATAGCTCATCCTCTGTGGAAGAAATTAATTCACCCCAAATGCCAGCCTTGCTTAAAGATCTCTGTAGGTGCTCAGGAAAGTATCGGGAACATGATAAGGGCTTAACTGTTCTGTGGGCGAGAGATTTTATTCTGCATTGACATCAAACCTGGAATGCTGGTCAGTGATATTTGCTATATCACAGGTATAATGTGTCAGGTGCAGTTTTTAAAATGAAACCTCATGGTTAAAGCAGACATCAATGATAATTTTACTGAATAATCTTCTTTAGACTGCACTGCGGGGTTCTGAGGAATGGGGGATGCCACTAGTCTAGGATTTTATTTTTATGTTATGTTTGTCTTGGTTGTTGTAAAGAAAAAACTTAAATTGCGTAAAATTTAGGAATGTGTAGGTAGCAAAGAATATCTTAAAAAGTAACAGAAGATTTTTTTTGCATCAGTTACTTGTGATGGGGGAGAGGGGAGAGGGCTCCCTTTTTCACTACCCCGCAGTGCAGTCTAAAGAAGATTATTCAGTAAAATTATCATTGATGTCTGCTTTAACCATGAGGTTTCATTTTAAAAACTGCATCTGGCACATTATACCTGTGATATAGCAAGTATCACTGACCAGTATTCCAGGTTTGATGTCAATGCAGAATAAAATCCCTCGCCAACAGAAAAGTTAAACCCCTATCATGCTCCTGACTTTCTTGAGCACCTACAGAGATCTTTAAGCAAGGCTGGCATTTGGGGTGAATTAATTTCTTCCCCAAAGGATGAGCTATGAAAGTCTACTGTATCCTTAAGTGAAGACCTCATCAGCGTTTTTATTAAATGTGGCCCAACACAGACTGTGTAATTTTGGAGGACTGGCCTACATCACAGGGTGACTTGAGGACTTCCCCGGCTTGTGTCATTAGTCCACTCTTCTCATGGCCTTTTCCATAGGCTGACCTTGACAGAACACCTTTTGACCAGCTCATTTCCCCTTGTTAAAGAATGTTAGCTCTTTACTATAAAAACCACCTTAATGCACATACCGGGTGTCTTAGGGAGATCCAGTGAATACTGGGACCGGTCTCAAGCTTTCAGACATCAACAGCACAATACCCCACAATGGCTTCAGGACTTTCTGGAAAGATATTACAGGGTCAGGCCGTAGGCCCTCCCTGAACTGAAGAGGCTCACAGCTCTGCCTCCAGTTGCCACTGTCCAATGAACCACACAGAACCTGTAGTATTTGTCTCAGACAGTGCCTGGCAACCAGGATAGAGACCTTCAGCTGGACTGGGGGAGAAAGGGGACAGTTTTCTGTAGCTTTGCTCTGTTCCATGCACAATAGCAGGCAATATTGCATGTACAGTGCATTTGGGGAAGCAGAAAGGGCTGACTGCAGGTAGATCTCTGGTCTAAACCTCAGGACACTCTGAGACCCAGCTGGCCCTACAGGAAAGCAATGCTGTGTTGTAGCCCTTCTCTGCACCCAAGCTGGCCAGGCTTTGTGGTGGTGCACACTTCCATGGGCAACTGCCTGCATCCCTGGGGGAGCTGGGGGGGGATCATTCACTCTTCCAGGTTAAACTTCCTTGCCACACAGAAGCCTGAGCTTGTGTACAGAGGTGATGGGGTCTCTCTCCATCGAGGCACCTGTTCTCCTTTGTGTTTGCTCAGTGCAGACAGGCACATGCAGAGGACTGAAGGACCTCGCCAAAGTTGGTACCTGAGAGCCCTGGAGCTCATGATAAGGGCTCAAAAAGTCAATTAGATTTGTCCTGCTCTTAAAGGCTCATGTATTTTTTGTGGAACTAGTTTGTCTTTATTCACTCCAAGTGTTCCTGGACAGTGATGGCTCTGTGTTAGGGTACACAGTACCTCATGCAGTCATCATTTCAGCTCAGGGCCCCCAAGTTTACCCTGGGCCTGGTCCTCAATCCAGTCAGTCATCTATGGAAATGTGCCTGTGAGGAGGAAATGGGTTCTTTTGACTTAATTTGCCACCTTTTACTTTCTTAACCATTTCACTTTTCTAGAATCTCTCTGAGACACAGAGACTCCTCTATCTCCTGGGACTCTACTATGAGTGACTCATCCTCGGCGCTCTTATCTACCCAGAAACCACCAGTGGGAGGCATTCTGGGAGTTCGGGAGGGCTTTGGGGTTCAAGCCTCAGGCCCCTGCCTTGTGTGTCTGGAGAAGGGAGCCTCTGACCACACTTTGGGAACACGAAGGAAGATAGCCAAATATCTGAAGTAATAAATGATTCTTTATTCAAAATTCATGTATGTATTTTAAGAGGAAATGGCTACGGTTTATGGCCCCTTTCTGAAAGTGAAAAATTCTGCCATCACGGGGTGGAAAAAGTCAGGACTCTTTAGCTACAGGTGACAGAAACTCAGCATTATTGACTTAAGTCAGATAGGGAGTTCAGGCACAGATATTAGGGGGACACCAGAAAGAAGCACGGCAGAAGCCTGGACAACACCAGGGCCTCAGGTTAGAATCAGGGACCTGTGCTGCCAGCAGGTCCCTCTGTGTCCTGTCCCTGAGACCAGAAACCTCTGGTGTCAGTGGTTCATCCTTTCAGTTTCTCTAGATCTGTCATGTGGGTTTTGAAAACAGGTTTAAAAAGAGAAGTATTTGAGTTGTAATCTGCGGGCCCCAAAGGGTGGTGTTTTGTAACCTCATTACCTATTTTTTCCTTTTTCCCTTAAGGAAAGGGAAAAAAAAAGGAAAAAAAAAACAAACCCTAATTCAAAAAATGATGGATGGTTTTCCTAGAAAAACCCTAGTCAAAAAACCAGTGAAGGCTTTCTAGTGGTTTCCTCTCTCCTTTTCCAGTCTCTCAAAATACAGCTGTGCATCTGGTTCCACTTTCTGGCCCCTTGTGAGAGGCCCAGAGGGAGGTGTATCTGACCCATACACATGCAAGAACATCAGTAACATTTAGTTGGGCAACTTCCTCCTTTTGGACTAATAGGAGTGTCCGTAAAGCCAGGCTTTGTACAGAGGGCCCTTAAGTAAAAGACATCAGAATATCTCGGGCTTGCCCTTTGTGGAGAGCAGATTCTTGAGTCTGGAATTTGAACAAGCAACATGCCACTGATTTTTGACATCCACTCCCACCTGCTGTCTCCACCCCATAGCTAACACTTAATGAAGCAGAAAATATGATCATATGGAACTTGCCTTTTGTTGTTTGTTTATTTAATTTCAGGTGTATATTTTTACAACGGGCATCCGATAAGACAGGTAGATATCTTGGGAACTGTTGTTGCAGTAAGAGAAAGAGATGCTTTCTACAGTTACGGAGGTAAGAATGTTGTGTCTTGAACGTATTGAATAGACGGGCCTGGAACTGACCGCTGAGTCTGAAGCAGCCTGGCCTTGAAGGGCTGCAGGGCTGTCAGGGAGCCTGTGCTTTCCTTGTGGAAGGCGCTGTTGGAGCCACAACGTGGGCCAAGTGCAAAAGGAGGAAGCAGGGCAGACACAGCAGCGTCAGTGATTGGTTGACTCCCCTTCCTACTGAAGCTAACAGGATTCTAATATTGAAGAAATATCCTTTTGTGATTATTTCTTTATGCTAAATAGTTCTGGGATCATGTGTTACATTGGCATGACATGCACAGACAAGCAGTGCATATGAGATTCCATCCTCATTCTCCTAAAGAAACCCTGAACATTTCAATGTCTTTAAAATCATTTCTGTGAAAATACACTAATGTTTTATATAAAATAGATTATTCTTAGGTTTCTGTTTCTCAGTGAGGCATCAATATCTTTTAATAGCAGTGAGGATTGCTCTTCATTATAACTTATATTCTCATATGCTATGCCTAGAACATTTAAGTTGTTCCAGCTTCTAGTACTGTAAGCAGTATTGCAGTGACCAGCCTGAAAACAGACTTACACACACACACACACACACACATCTATGTATTTGCTCTGCCTTTCCCCTCAATTATTGGAAGTAAAATTTGAGACCTATTTTCAAACTTGCTCTTTTGAAAGTTGGAACTAATGTAAATTCCACTACAACATATGAGGGTGTCAATATTTTTAATATTTGTCATTCTAGTGGTTGAAAAATTGTTTAAGTTTGCTTCTTTTTTTTCTGGTAACTAATAATGAAGCATACTGACAAATCTTCATTGGCCATTTTTGTATCTTCTATAAAGTGTATTCTCTTTCCTTTTCTACTTTTTCTCCTGTAGTCTTGGTCTTTCCTTATTGGTTTGTATAAGTTCTGTTATTTATTAAAGCTTTGTATTTATTAAGACACCCCATCACTTGGGGAATTGCTATATAATATTAGTGTTTAGTGAATCAGATATTAGACTTTATTTTTAAATGGGTTCTGGTTTTTTAGGTCTGCTGAAGAAATTTCCCCCCCCCAGCCCCATCAGCTATCAGCCCAAAGTTAAAACATATTGACCCATATTTTCTTCTTAGGTTTACCTGTTTTGCATTTAATAAAATGATATCTATATAAAGTTTATTTTAGTATAAGAACTATTCTTCTTGGCTTCTGCTTTTAACACAGATTTAAACCAACAATGAAAAACTGTTTCATTTTTTATATGCTTTTACAACAGTCTAGCTGATGATTTTTTTTAAATAATTAAGCCCCCTCACCCTGTGCTTAGCAATCTCTGTTCTAATTTTGTCAGAAATTAGGCAACAAGAAAACACCTACCATCCCATGGCAACCCTCCAAATTTCTCTGGAGTTAACAATGCAAGTGCTTTGGGGATTCTTTGATTTTTTTTTCCCTAGGGATAAAGTAAGCCAGATCAGATTATTTAAGTGACCAAGAGTTCATTATTTTCTATTGTGAAAATAAAACCTTGCCTTTCTGTGGTATATTTGACTTCCTTACCTGCCCTTCATTGGGAAGGGCTGGGCAGAAGCACTGTCACAGAGAAAAGCCCAGGCCAGAAGACTTGGGGTGCTTTGTCTTGGCAAGTCAGCAAGCCAGGGAGAGAACAAATAGTGACAGAAGGCAGCGTGCTGAGCGCCTGGGCCACAACCACAGACCATGACGCACTCTTATGTCAGGGTAGGAGGGAAGAGCTGACTTTGTGTCAGGCACAGAGTCTTGGCATTTTGCACTGCACTCCCTGTGGACCCCACTTCTAGGAAACGGGTAGATTCAAGAGTCATTGGTCCCCCGGAGGTAGGGTAGGTGAAATGTTGACTTTCTCCACTGGGTTCACGTATGACCTTGACATCCTCCACTGGGTTCCTGTATGACCTTGACATGTGCAGACAAGCAGCTCCCACTGGTGTATGGTGGGCAATCCATTCTCTCATGAAACGAGGGCTGGACAAGGGATTTGCCCAGCCAGGCTATTAAAAATGCCACCTTTTGGTTTGGCTGAATGCAGTGAGGATGTGCAAATTCACCAACTCTTCCAGCAATGCCCAAATCTCTTCTATCCTTTTATGCTTCTCTTGCAGTGGATGACAGCACTGGAGTTATAAACTGCATCTGCTGGAAAAAACTGGACAATACTGAGTCTTCCTCAGGTAGTTTTATTTGCCACGCCTTCCTTTTCTTTGCGACGAGCTAGTGGATTAAATTTTATCATTTAGCCATAGCATTAATGTTCCACATGTGTCCACTTGTGAATTATAACGGCCAACTAAAAGCACTGGCAGGGTTTCTGGGCCACTCTGCAAAGTGACGCCACCAGGAATCCAGTTGTTTTTCTCTCCCTGTGACTTTGGTGCATATGAGTTACTGGAAAATCAGCAATTTATTTCTGCCATGCTGATTATTACACACGTCAGGATGTTTCAGGTTATTTCTGGTCACCTTGCTCCTGGCGTATCACTTGACCACATTTGATTCACAAGTGGATAAATGTATTCGGAATGATTTTGAAGACTTTCCTTCTATGTGGTCGCCACTAACTTCTGAGCTGCTATGACGTGACTTTTTTTTGTTCAGACAAATATACCAGGAATTCCAAAACTGATGAGAAGGTAAGATAGGATTTATTTGATGTTAAATGGTATATTGTTTATTATTTAGTAAGTTAATAATATGTTCACAATAATATATTAAATGATATAAATTGAAAGAGAATTTAAAATTGTATATTAAATCAATTGATGATAACTAAAATGGTGTTTGGAATATTTTAGTATATTAATAATTCTCAACCCTACTGCTCCCCTCAGCAGTGTACTTCATCGATCTGCCTGTTCTGCTCCCCACTCTGTCTCTGGTGAATCCTCTCATCGCCCTACACCTCTGGCCTGTACCCCAGTTCTGTATGCATAAATAAATAAATCTTTTTTTCAAAAATTATGCAATGTTGGTGATCAATTTTGGCTCTAGAAGAGACTCAGAACCCGGGGCCTCCTTTTACTCTGTCTTACACAATGAGGTCCTGTGTATAGAGGGGTGAGACAGTAAAGGTAGCCTGCTCTTACCTGTGGTGTCCCTCTCCTATGTAAGATATTATGAGAACATGTAATACTTACAGTGGTTTGTTCTTTTCCTTTCTGCCAGTCAACTGTCAAAATCTCAGCTTCCTGCTGTGATGATTGAAACACTCCTTTGCTTAATTTTCTGATGGATCTATGTTTAAAATTTGGTCATCAGTTCATGTGACTTTGGTATTTTCTAATCTGGGAACTCCTAAATCAGTAATTTGCTTTACTTTGGAAGCTTTATAGATTAAAAAACAAAAACAAACAAACAGAAAGAAAAATCAAGAATACAACAGGTTTTTTTTTTATGCAGTTATCCACAAGCAAGAGATAAACTTACTTGACCAAATGAGATGAGTTTTTTAAAAAAGGTTTATTTTTATTTATTTATGCACACAAAAACTGGAGTGTAGGCTAGAGGTACAGAGGGTGAGAGGATTCACCAGAGACAGAATGGAGAGCAGAACAGGCAGATCGATGAAGTACATTGCTGAAGGGCGCAGTGGGCTAGATAGAAGTCTGCTGTGCCATGTAAGTTAGCTCCCTGGCCAGGGATTGAACTCATACCACAGTGGCTGGTGATAGTTTGATTGCAGTGAGACTTTAACCAACCCCGTGACACCCAAATGAGAAGAGTTTCATGTATGTCCAGGGTATTAAAATGATTTGCAGGTGAGATTTCTGCTATTTTCTTTTTTAATCAGACAGTGTCATTTGAATGTACATAACTTGTTTCAGACCAAGGCTCAGCAACCCTTTTCTGTACGGGACCAGATAAGTGTTTTGTGGGTCATAAAGCCTCTGTCTGGGCTGTTCAGTGCTGTTCAACATGGAAACAGCCATGAACTCTGTTCATAAACAAAGGGGCATGGTTGTGTTCCCATAAAACAGAGAGGCTCTGGTTATGGATGGGCTGGCCCATGGCCTGTAGTTTGCAGACTCTGGTTTTTGGCATTGTTAAATTTTCAAAATCAAATTTTTTAAAGAAATATAATCAACAGAAATTTTATATAAATTGCTTAGGTAAAATGTCTATAATCTTGAGTTAGGTTTTTGAGGTATCTGCACATAGATGTAGAAAAGAGCAGTCACAGAGGATAGCCTTCATTGGCAATGGGTTTAAGACTGATAAGAGAAGGCAAGAATACAAGGAGAGATTCTGAAAATGATTCTTACAGAAAAAGTGATATTTTAACATTGTTCCTGGCTATCCTATTCTCTCCTTTTAATTTTATTGCCTTCAGTTTAAAAACTTTCCACTGGAAAGTGGCCAAGGAAGACTAATTCTTTAAACAAAATTTAGTCTGAGTCAAAATCTTATTCCAGTCAGTTAAGGAGTAAGAATATAATATTAACTCCTATAAATGTCATACTGAATGTATCATTTGGACTTAGGCTTATGAGAAAAGTTAAGAAAGCTTGGCCCTTCATATTAGAATTTTAAAGAGGGTTTATCTTTCAAGGAGGAATAGGCTACTTAACATGAAATTCTGTCAGGCTCCAGCCATCTCATTATACTCATTAAATTACACAGCTTGAGCGCTTCATTCGGCAGCTTGGCTCACCTTGTAAGTGAAAGCTGGGCCTCTCTTTCTCAGACCAGCCGTCAATCTGACCATTTCAGCCATGCTAGATGAATAGCATCTATTATCATTGATGATGTCTGAATAATGACAATGAAATTTATAAGTACACTTAGAATTCTGCCTAAGGAGAAGAGCACTTAGGGATCTCAACACAGATGGAGTAACCTTTTAAAAAGTAACACTTGGGTATTTTCTGAAGAAACCCAATAAGCTGAGTAGCTTTCAAGCTGATTGTGTCTAGATGCTAGCGGTGGGTCACTGGATACACAGAGCTCTCCCCGGGCTGACTTGCCCTTGGCGCAGTAGATGTGTTAAGAGGAAAGTAATGCCTTTGCACCTCACAAAAACCATGGTTATCTAAGTGGTATTAGATTCAAAAGCTGAACATTGGGTGAACAGACCAAAAGAGAGATTCATTCCATCATAGAAATCCTAGTGAATGACAAACTAGAAAGAGTAAAGCAGTAGGCAACAAATAAGCATTTAATTCATGTTGCTAGTTGGGATACACAAGAATATTTTTAAAACATCAAGTTGCTTAAATTTGTAATTTAAGTGGTGAGGAGGGGAGGAGAGAGGAAGGAGGCAGCAAGGGAGGAAAAGAGAGAGAGGGAAGGGGAAAGATAAGAGATTAGCCTAGTTATCCACAAAGGTGAGAGCTGGAGATTAAGGTGTGAAGTACTTAGGTGGGAATTCAGCTCAAGATGAATATGCTTTCCCCATGAACAAAACTGCAAGTGGAAACACTTGGGTAGCCTCTCTTTTGATGCCAGACCTCTGTCTCCCTGTAAGGACATTTTGAAGGATTGTTTAGAGGTGTTACCCTCAACCCAACCCTGGCTGAACCTTGCAGGATCCAGAGCACAGGGCCTCACAGAGCCCTTGGGCCACTGGTGATGCAGAGGTGCCAGCCAGCGTGACCCTGGGGTTGTTACGCCTCCTTGTCCACTCCACTCCTTTTTCTCCA